TGCTAGGACCATGCACAACTTCCAATCCTCAACATACAATCACAGAACCGCAACAACGGTAGGATCCCATCCTGCTCAAAGCCCATTTTGTTTCCCCCAACCAAACCATTCGCTTCAAGCGCAGGTCTCGTCGAACATCCCTCGGTCAGGTGGAGGCGACTGCTGCTGGTCACTCTCAATAATGGTTAGTTCGCCAAACCAGTCGCTTGTTTTTCGTGTCCGCTCTGGCAACAGCGGTCCGTCTCGATCTTCGTCGTTTGAGCAACTGCTAGCGAATATACGGGGACCAAACGATGGAGCGGCTTTCCAATGTCCGGGCCAAACGTTGACTGCGGACCCGTTCTCTTCTCGGTTTTCCCGCTGTTCATGCTACTGCGGCTTTCTCGAGTCAGGTTTTGTTGGTACTCGTGCTAGCATAACTGGTGTCCTGCAAGGAATACTAGCAGGCACAGTTCTTCGCTCGCTTCTTCACGTCTCAACGCAGTGGCCCCTTGGCCCACCGTTCCCTTTCCCATCTAGGAACCGAGTGTAGCCAAATGTGGGCAGCCCATTCAAGCCGCTTAGTCTTCTCAATAGTCTCGTTTTCGCAGGGACCGCTGAGCCTCGTGGCAGAAGCAACGGTTTCCGCTGCTGCAACCGCGGCGGCTGTTACCGTTTTGTGGCTCTCTCTTTTGCCTTTATCGTCGTCCCTCCGCCAACGTTTCTTCCTTCTCTTCTCATTCTGCCTCTCTTCGCCGTTTGTTCGTTCGTTCTGGAGGCATCCGTAGTAGCAGCGGCGCTGGCGGCGCCAGCGCAGGCATCGTCGTCTACAGTACCAACACCAGCCACAGAAGCAGTCGCCTCTGACAACGCGGGGCGTTCGTTTGGTGTTCTTTTACACCCCTCCCCCCTCTAACGCAGCCCAGGTTTTCTCCCGTTTTCCGCCCTCTGTCATCCCTCGGCCACCCCGTTCATTCGCTACCCTACGCTGCGCTATTTCCTCCAGCAAGCGAGCGACCGCCAATGGTGACCGACAAGCAATGTGCCTCTCAGTTTGTGTCTCTGCGGCGACTTGTGTATGGCCGCATGTGTACGTGTGTTGGCCGCCGGCCTCGTTGTAGGGCCACCCCCGTCGGCGGCCGTGAGGTTCAACGTTCAGTGCGTTCACCGGTGACGAAGGCAATGGTGGCAATAGCCTCACCGTGTGTGGCTATCTGCATTGCTGGCACAGCCAATACAGCTGGGAAGAAGCTGCTGGCTGGTCGTCGTGGAAAAGGGGCGGGTGGTGCAGGCAGCAGGCATAGGAGCTGTCGGGATTCTATAGGGTGCTTCGGACCGGACCGAACTGTCTGCTGGGAGCAGGCGAGGAAGGAGCCTTCTTAAGTTTCTTTCAATCATATTTCCACCATCGTTCGCTCTTTTCCTGTTTCCTGTACCCTCTTCATGCCCTGCTCCCGGCGACTCTCCCCCCAGCTGCCCGCCCGCCATTCCCCTTTCCCTCTCGCGCCCGTCGGACACTGCCTGGTTGGTTCGTTCGTTCGTTCGCCGGGAGCCGGAGGCAGGCATACGCTCAGTGCATTACAGCACAGCAGCCCAAGCCTTCGCTGCGTTCGTCTAGGTCTGCCAGACTAGCGGCCCGTACGGCTCCACGAGTCTTTTCTGTGCTCCTTGGTTGGTTCCCCGCCCATTCCCGTTCTTCGTTCGTTCGTTCGGTCGGTTTTTCGATTCCCCGGTTATAGCGGCGACAGCGGCGGGGGCTGCCCCTGTTGTCCGCTTTCCGTTCACTTTGCCCTTCTCGCAGAGGGAACAGGCAGGAAAAAGGCGCCTGTTCTTCCGTTCACCAGTTCTTCTATTCCTTCGGTGGGAGCTTGCGTTGCCCCATCTCGTCGTGTCCTGTCCGTTTTGGCCCGGACTTCCCCTTCCTTCGTCTCCGGTCGCTACGGGTCGGCCTCGCTGCCGCTTCTTCTATCGTTTTGGGCGAACGACTGACGGCAACTGAAGAACCAACCGACAGCTCCCATTCGGAGCGCCGCACAGGAGTGCTCCTGTTACCCCAGCGTCCTGCCTCCCGCAGACACAACTCCCGTTTGCTCTCAATTCCGGCTCTGCACGGGCCAACACATTGCAGCCAACACCGCTAGACCCTGTTATACCCTGAAACTCCTTTTTAGTTGGCTGTATGCCCCGTAGGCAAGCACGATGCTTCCACACACTTCTGCTGGTATTCGCTGTTTTTCGCTAGCATGGATTGCCGGACGCCACGGCGGGACCGTCCGTAGAAACAGGCACGCAGACGCATACATCGAGGCACGTAAATACGGACCCAAGCACGGAGATATGAAAAAAAACGGATCTGAAAGAAGAGCACAGTGCCTTTTCATATGGAGTCAAATGCAGAAGTACACACAAGAAGTGGCGCATGGATGCTACTCACAAAGGTGTCCACTGTGGTACTGCTGCCGTTGTTGATATGCACGATGAAAAAGTAGGGTAAAATAGGGCACAACAAGCGAAGATACGATGCGCATTTGAGCAAACATATGCTTAGCAGAGTAAGAAAGAAACAGTGCGGTATAACAGGCCGGAAAACAGGGTGGACAGCGTAATAAACTGTTGTAGGTCAGCAGATATCCTTGAGAAATAAGGACCGCAAGCCTGGAAAATATGGGTAGCCAAAATCTTCGTCTTAAAGCTCACCATGGTCTAAAAATGCGAGAAAACACGAACTCTGAACAGGTATCTAGAATAGATATCAACGGGAACAAGAAACACGGGACTTGTTCACAATTAGGTAATGAAAACATGGCGAGAACAACAGTAGCAATAAAGATGATGAAAATGTAGTACAAGTAGTCACCCACAGAGTGGATGAACAGCCTGTTACGGCGGCCAATTACCACTACCAGTTGTTTTCCTATCCGAAGACGTAGCAAATCTATAATGATATTTTGCTAATCTTGTCACCAGTGTTACTGCACAACGGTATGTAATGTTCGTTCACTCATCAGTCTCGACTTGTCTCAACACGTACGACCAGCCACAATCACAAACATATACACTACAAGTTCCCTTCGTCTGCGATGTGCAATGCATTATATCTCGTAGACGAGGGTCGACTTTAGCTTCATATATAGAGTGTATGCGGTGCATGCCGTAACATGCGACAATACGAATTGTACAGTCAAATCAGAGTCGAAGCCAGCATTGCGTGCTTCTGGTCCATCGAAGAAATCTCTAATGGCACGTTGATAGTGGCCGTTTCCGATTTGTGCTAATGGAGTGGGCGATAGGGTCGTAGAGAAAGTTTATATGACGAACGAATCGTCTACCGTCCGGGCACGTTGACACACCATTGAGGTCGGAACAGAGCTCAGCCGAAGTGACCCCACAGAAAATGCTGTAGGTGTGGGTGGATAGCAAGCCTTGTCCCAATCTATTGGAAGAAAATATTGCGAAGCAGAGATGGAAACGCTCGGTCCTTCATTGAGGAAAGGAAAGAAGGCTAGAAGGGCTCCATTGTGGAGTACTGCCTGTTGTTAAAATTAGACGAGTCTTTCTTACCCGATGATGATGGGGGACCTTCGGTCATCCTTTTCAGGGATTCAATAATTTTGAAAAATTGTTTTTTGGGGGTAAACCTTATACTGTGGCGGATACAGTTAGCAGAGTAACGATCGTGCGCTTACATGCAGACACATAGAACGTCGAAGGAATTGCTGCATTTCAACGGATCGGTACCTAATACTACTCTCTTATGGTTCTTCGTGTTCCTTCTGCGACTCACCTGTATCAAACGTTTACCGTGTATAATCAGCCCCTAGCTGAGGTCTCCGTCTATGAGACGATAATGGGAAGCCACTCCAGAGTAGGAGAACCGAATCAACAAAATAGCGATTCCTTGTCCTGCTCCCTCGTGGATACAGCGACACCCATATTTACCTCGAGACCGGACGGTAAATTTTGCATTCGGTAGTTGTGCTACCCGTACCCCGCTCCCCCCCTGATCAGCGATCGGAGCACAATGGGACCCCGGGTTCGCTGAGACAGGCGTAGACCGCGGTCAGCCACTGTAACCTTGTGAACAGAAGGTAGAAGCCTACAGACTTGCCACATCCAACGTACTTGCTTAGAAACGAATAACCATCCTCCAGTTGTTAGAGGGTGGTAAGGAAAGAGATACAATTGCCATACGGCGACCAGAGTTATACTGCCTAACCATTATGTGGTCGAGTGAATTGATCGTCTGATGGCCATCTGACTGCCCAATGAATTGTCGCTCGCCGGTTGTAGGCCAAGCAGCTGAGTCGCTTGGCGCCTATCACATATAGCAGGACGTATCCATGTTACCTTGTTAGCTTACTTGTTCTCTGAGCGCTCAAGGAGGGGGCGTGATTAAATCGACACACACATATATGGTTAGATTCCGTCGCACAATGGAAATGCCCGTAACAACAAAAGATCTTACAAGCATCGAGCGAACCGGATCATTTCTAATATCAGTTGTTAGTTCGGGTTATCAGTAACGGCCTTGTTATTATTGCTTGATATAACATTTTAACGAACACTATGAATCAACATTAAAGCAGTCGATATGAAAAATTTAGAGGAATTTTTTTAGAGGAGTTTTTTAAAAATCCACACAATATTTTAACGTTGTCACATTGTTATCGAACGAAACTACATTCAAATATAAAAACAATAATTTTTTCTTAAAGATTTGTGACATTGAGTGAGTACGCAAGAAGCGTCACTAACTTTAGCACTATAATCGACCCTTAAATCCATATCTCTGCGTACGTAATAAAGACCGCCGATTTCGAATTGAGAAGTATCGCATATTCAACAGGTGGTAGAGCTTTGATGACAACACAAAGGTCGCTTGTAGTTCATCGTCGGAACATATCGATTCATTTGTCATTGGCAAAAATCGTTACCTAATGTCCGTGCTCAAGTAGTTTATCTCGCGTCAGGCTAATTATTAGCAATAATTATATGACTTTTCATTAATTTGTCCATTTTAGGAGGTTCGGCACAAAGTGCGCGGGGTGTTCTCAGGGCATATCACCAACAGACCTCGTTCGACGCGCTCGTTCGAAAGTTTTTCATCTCAAGTGTTTTACTTGTCTCGTTTGCCGGAAACAGCTTTCTACAGGTGAAGAACTCTATGTCCTCGACGAAAATCGCTTTATATGTAAAGAGGACTACCTCAGTCAACGACAGCAAGGTATGTAACTTGTTTTCATTATACATCGAGTATTACAAACCTAAACAATCAGCTCTTTGTGCATAACTGCAACTTACTTTATGTGACTAGCCTATATACTGAATATAATGTGAAATCATTCTTGTAAACCGTCAACAAATCCGCCTCGATATTAGCGAAGATTCAAAAATTAGGTTTTGCTTACAGCGCCATCTTAGATCAACCATACCTTTACGTTTCAAGTGTTACGTCCACGGTGGACATTCTATCGGACGGCTGGCTCCCAGCACAAAAAGAACTCTGTCTATGCCCGGATTCGAACCAGGGCCACAACCGTACCTACATGCGTCTAGACGAATTTGATTTACCACTTTTCAAACGCACCTTTAGATTAAAATGCGCTTATTGCCCTTCGCGCTAACATAAAGGAACATGCGTTTGAACATCTCAGAGATATTGCAATGTATGTAATAATCTATAATTTGTATAATTCATTACTCGTAAAAAAGGTTTACAGGAACCTGTGACTCCTGCCAGCGGTCGTGTTTGGAGGCAGCGTTTTACTTGTCGCGTTATGTCATTCTTGACGCCTCCATACACGTATACAATCAAAGACACACAGAGAATTATATATACGTTACATATTTATCTGTGTATAAGTAAAAGTTCTCCCATCCGAGTACTTGTTCTTCACGTGCTTCTTTTCGGTGTCCGCTCACCGATCGATCTGAGTCCGTCAGTCAGACAGGAACTGGCCCGGGTAACAGCAGACCCCCTTTTCTTATTCTTCACCCACGTTACACCGCAAGTTCCACAACTCCCGACCGTTCTCGGGTTCTGTAACCGTCTTGACTGATGCTATTACTGCTTTTGCTGCTGATTTTTCTCCCGATGTCTTCGTCGGCCACGAATAGTTCTACACAAACACAGGACATCCTGAAGCGAGTTAACTCCATTGATGATCCGCCTCGACTTTGACGGATGAGCCCGTCCGAGCAAGCGACAACCACGCTTTCAAAGTCGATCCTGTTGCGTCCGAACTATTCATCGATGATGTACGGTGTAGTCTGTATGCATTTGTTCATTTTTTGTTGGTCTCCCTATCCATCCATCCATCCATCCATCGCTTGGTGGGATAATGCGTAAAATTTTTCGTTTTCATTTGCTGTCACTGCTGCTTTTCTCTCCACATGTCTCGTCGCGTTACGCGAATCGTAACGCGACGTTTCGTCGCTAGATGTATTCCCTCGCGCCATATTTCGCATTATCGTCGACTCTCGTTGCTTCTGCCATAGCCCAGTTGTTTTCTCTTGAATGCGCGTTAGGCTGTGAAGTCGTCTTTGGATGGCGTTGATTCCGTAGAGGAGACGACAGTATCAGCGGCAATTCTTCCGTATCGTATAGATGCGTTGCGTCGCCTTGGATAATGCGACGCAGACACGAGCAGGACACGATGATGACGATAGACGATGATGAGTAGGGAAAAAAGAAATGAAAAGCGAAAGACACCAAACGAATTTCGAATGTCGGACCACGAAACCAACTCAGCGAACGACAAAGACAAGCAAATGCAGGCCAAGTCAGCCCAATCTAAGTCAGCCCCGTAGAACTAGCCAGATCGACGGTTTGTCATCTGCCTGTTTGTCGTATCCGGCAGCCATTCCTTCTCCCTGAACAATTTCTTCCGCGGTCCATTCGCAGGATAGACTATTGTCACCGGTGATGAAAACAGCAGTAGAAGCTGTTAACCTCCAGACGAGATAGACGAGCCGAGGGCGACAAGCAAACTCCTAGCAAGACGCTAGATAGCGCAATGACAACGGCAGCACCGAAAGCTGTGGTTCTAGGGCTGCTTGCAGGGGCATTTTGGTGATGGAGGGCTGGTGTGAGCAGCTGACTGATGAATAACTAATGTTTTTTCGTTGTTGTTGGTGGCACTCTTTTTGTTACGGTCGTAGTATCGTCATCTTAGTTTACCACGTAATGTTTCTTGAGAAGCAACATATCGACTCAGCAGAGAGAAATGCACGCATGGAGAGTAAGTGTGGCGTGCCTTGAGTTGTCATTATTGGTACCATTGATGTGAAGGATGAGTGGGGTACTTGTGCTGTGAGATGCGTTGTTTCTGTATATAAGAAGACGCAGACGCTTTTTGGTTGAAATGCTAGCGGCGACGCTGTTGGGAATTAGTGCAAAAGTTGTCAGAGGTCGTCACCGAAGCGAGTGGCTTTATGGAGGGTCTTTTGAGAGTCATGATGGTGAGGTTTAGGTCAAAGTAGAGCTGAACTATTCATAGGGAAAATAGGATTCGACGTTTGTTAGCCGAAGCGTTGACTCGTAATTGATAATTAGAATTTCAAACAAAAGTTAGCATGTTATAGATGTCGCGGTTTTAAATTTTAGACTTCGTCAGCCTTCCTCGGCTACACCTGTATCGCATATTTTTTCTTAACCTGTGGCTAATTATCGGCGTTTACTTTTTATATACCGAACCGTCCCAAACCCGAACCGTGAGGAAAAAGCACGAGGGTATACCAGAGAGGGGCCCACGGCATAAGTGCGTCTACCTTAGTCTCCCGCCGAAGGGCAAGCTTACACTGCCGAGTGTCAACCTTATATGCCATCTTTTTCCATTGGTTCTAGGCCATTCGATCCCCAAGTCTTGCTAGACTTGTCTAAGTTTTTCTTCAACAGATCTGGTAGAAGCGTGGCATCAATGTCCCATAATAGCCTTTGATATCGGAATCAGCGATAGCCTTATGGTTACTCAGAAAATGCGTAGATGCGCGTTGGCCACGCTGGTCCACGTCAATAGCGCTATTTCCCGCGCAATTGAAACTATCCAAGCGATTATCATAATTTGGCGGGCGTTCCCAATCAAATCTCAATTCCTTTTCTTCTGATTGAATTTAGTGACGGGTACAATGCAGTTTAACGTCGTTATTCAGACATTTTTAAACATCGTAATTATTATAACAATAGAGGTATATAAAAGGTAAAAAGATACAACTATTTCAAGTTAAGGCAACGTCATGGGCAATATTTAAGTTACGGTTTAACAAACCCAGCCGTTAGGGCATCATCGGATCGAAGCAGATATTGAACGAAGTTGTTAGTTCAAACCGGGTTTTGAACGAATGTCGACTAATTGACAAACCCCTAACAGACGAAGACACTACGTACGGACGGTAGTCTTATTAATGAAGCAGACATTTTACCCTGTCATTCGCTATCGATATATACCTTTGCGAAGGATCCTAATCTTAGGCATGATGCTATAACAGGTTGAACATGTTTACAATTGAATGAACATTACAGGAAAAAACAGGCTTTTAGACGAAGATGTTTTTTTAATCTTTATCCAATGTAATGTTGCTCCTTACTCGATTCGTGCCCATATGTCACGTTTGTCGAAGAAGAGTGATATCGTACGTACGTAAATTTTTTACTACAAAAACAGATTTCCGATCATTTGATATTGAGTGCTTCAATGAGTGAGACATCAGCGACGAACTCAGATAGAATACTAGCATAAAGAAGCCGTTCAAGTTGATATAAGAGGAATATTAATCGTATTGATCTATTCGATGAAAACAAGGCTTGACTTTGTCCTGTTATCTGTACGGCGCTCCTTTTCGTTAAACCGTTCGCGCGGGTTATTTAGCTCGTACAATGTGTTTATTACATCGTGTTTTGAAATAGACAGTAATCAGTATAAGTAATAGTTGACTGTCTACACACTCGCTAACAAGCATAACATGTAGCTAAATTATTGATTGACAGATTGACATTGTCAAAATAGATACCGTTATCAATGTACTTAGATCGTTGTCAAGCTAGCGAAATTCACCCAAATGCTAGTCCCCGTTTTTCACTGGCGAAACCCTTCACGAGAGGCAATAGTCGAAACAAGGATCTTGTAGTTTCTGCGTTGCATCAACCCGTTCCCTATACATTTCAGTAATAGCTATGTTGCGAAATGGCTCGTTCCTGTTATTGTGACGGCAGACAACAACGACAGGGTAGGGCGAACCGGCGGATGAAGCCAATACCGCCCAGTTCTGGATAAACGGGCTATTGGTCGTTCTCGAACACATCGCAATAACTTTGACAGCCGCTTGTTTCACTTGTCGTTCATCTACCTCAACTAGTACTAATAAGTCGTAATGTGGCTGTTGCATATTTTACACCTAAGTGAGCCCAAAAAGTATCCGATAGCAAAAAACAGTGGCGCTGTAGGGGGCGAATAGGGAGAGAAGACCGGGCGACCCCAGCGCCGCCGGAAACTGCGACATTTGTAGCAGCAAGTCCGTAGTCGGAACAACTGCGTCTTCATATAGTTAGCCACTGTTATTACTGTTGTTGTTGTTGTTGTCAATGTTGTTACCACTGCGGTGCCCTCGAAACCCCCGAGGCAATAGTTCCCTTACTCTTGTGGGCAGTAACTTGCCCCATTCCTAGCCGTTGTCGTCGGCGCTGCAGCCAGGTAAGACACTTACGATAGTACAGTTCATCAGGTACCCTCAGCGTTCGCGCATCCAGTAACAGCACGCGTGGAGTTAGCGTATTTATATTACACATGTGTAAGCGGTGACACAGAGATCCGCGGTTAACGACAAAAGGCGCATTTCCCGGGTTGGCTTTTACCGTTGCTGCTCCTTCTGCACGCACTGTCGCAACCAGCTGTCCTCTTGTTGCCTGAATAGCGGGCTTATATATATGACTGTGTAGTCATCAATAGTTGGTTGTTAGTGGAGTTGCAGTGGTGAGGGGTGCTTATGGGGGCTTAAAAATGGTACTCAGCCAAGGACATTGTCCCCCCCCCCCCTTCCTCTCCCTTCCTGTTCCGCGGGTTGGGGGACCAATGTAGATTATGGGGAACGTACAACATACTGTGTTCTATGCACGATAATGCAGGTGGCATGGGTAGCGTACGGCAATACGGGACTGAGGCGAATCGTTTTTTCGGAATTGAACGCAAGCAACATAAACGACCTCGATGACATGACGAAAATACGGAA